ATAATATTTTAAAATTTTATAATAAAATTATCAATTACCATAATTTGCATGCTGCCATTGGTAATTATCGTTATAGGGTGCATTTTACAAAGAGGGATATCTTAGTTAGGGCATCCGATATTACAGCAACTTTCAGAAATAAACTTCAATTTAGATATTGCTGAGACCCTATTATTCCTAAGTGCAATAATCTATGAACGTAAATCTAATGAAGTCCGGAAAGCCCATAACGAAATTCAACATGCAAATGACGAAATTCAACATGCAAAAAAAATTCGTGAATTTTGCGAAAATGCATATGAAACAATTTGTAAACAAGCCGATGATTATTGTGGTTTAAAATTTATGCCACTTTTCAGAATTGGGTAACGTTGAGAGTTTATTCGCCGGAATGTTTTGGTCGGAATCGGAAAATAAGAAATTCATTTCTGTGGTATTCAAAGGCACCACCATAACAAATTTTAACGAGTGGCTAGCTGATTTTCTCATCACTCGAGCGGATGCAAGTCAATATATCTTTGGAAACATTCATAAGGGTTTTTACGATAATTTTTTCCCAAAAGGAAAAAGCATAAGGGAGGCCAACTTCTTAGAAAATATCCAGCTTATCGAATGGTGATGTTATACGCAAAAAAGCCCAACAAATCTGGAAAGATGGTAATCCAGTGAATATTTGGGTAACTGGTCATTCGCTTGGTGCAGCCTTAGCCCAGGTTTTTTACGCAAGTGACTTTGATCTTATTAAAATATTTATATTATTGAAATTATTATATCGGAAGTAATTTATATATATCCTTTCCTCAGACTCATAAAAACCAATGACTTGATGACGAATTATTGTGTTCTTCGAGACACTTTCGTTTTTGCGGGACCAGCCGTAGGTGATAATGATTTTGCATCTTCATTCGAAAGTACTCTCAACCAAAGATTTGAAGAAATCAGAACCCTTTGGCGAATCGTTAATGCAAATGACATAGTTCCCAAAATGCCACCCAGATATGCATTTAATATATTCTCCCAATACGTTACAAAATCAGATTTCCGAAATTACTTTCATATCGGCCATGAGATAAAATTATTTCCGGATGGAAAGAGACCTCAAGGTATTGTTAGTAATACACATAGTAATGGAAGGGAAACACCAAATCGTGGGGAAAACAACAAAACATCTTGGTTTGAGCTACCAAATTTTATTCGTGATCATTATGCACGCAACTATTTTACTGCTATGGAACAGTCAAGACGTTATTTTTAAGGGGCTTACTTTGGTCATTGTAACGAATTAAAAACTTAGTTTTTATTTTTCTTTTAAATTTTTGTAAATAAAATTATTTTTCTCGGTAAATTATCCGTATATGTATAGCTACAGTATTTGAAATTCCCCATCCATTTTGGTAACAATCTCCAATTTTGGTAAATTTATTTATTTTTTAATTAACACAGTAAAAACGACGCACTTATGTTTGTGAAACTTGACTTGTCTAAATTTGTTTCCTTTTGCTCTACTTACGGTGATTAGCTA